ATGTTTAGATTCTGTTATTCCAGAGGTAAAAAAAATGCACAATCCCAAAAAAATGTGGGAATCATCTAAAATCAAGACTTAACCTGGGATTTAACCAGGACATCCCTACTTATTATTATTAGACATTAGTCATAGAAACTGATGACAGAAGAATCATATTTGTAATGAGTAAACACTAGAAATGGATGCAAATACTGTTAAAAAAAAAGTTAAAATCTTTACAAAATGCACTTAGGAGACACATAGGAAGGAAATCTAAAGTGGTAATATTTGAGTTAAAGGTGACCTTTGTGCAGGTTCGCAGCTGCGTTCGCTCTGCGTCAGCGGATGCTCAACTTCATTCAGAACATCCAGTACTACATGATGTTCGAGGTGATGGAGCCGACCTGGCACATCATGGAGAACAACCTGAAAACTGTGAGAGAACCGTTTCAACAAATCCTCACGCAGATTTAATCCATCTCCACTACTGACTGTTTGCTCTCCTTCGTCAGGCTTCGAACATCGACGACGTCCTGTGCCATCACACCAGCTTCCTGGACAACTGTCTGAAGGACTGCATGCTGACGAACCCCGAGCTGCTCAGGATCTTCTCCAAGCTCATGTCCGTCTGCGTGATGTTCACCAACTGCATACAGGTCTGTGGAAGTTGGAAAATGACAAGAAAAAAAAAAAAATCGATCAACTCAAACTGTAGTGTTCAAACGGCCGACGTCTCGGATAAATCATCAGGAAAAAAGTTTCAAAAATACACTGAAGTTAAAAAAAACACAGGATGTGACTGTTTCCTTTTCTGACAGAAGCTCAGTATGTAACTATAGATATTTCTATACACTATTTTTTCTCATTGTTGGACAGTAATTCAGTTTGAACCTTTTCTGTTTTAGGTCAGCAGGATTCAGGGTGTCCTTGCATCCTTAAAAAGTCTTGAGTCTTTAATTCATGCATTTAAAATTGAGAGGAAAAAAAAATGGCCTTCAGTACGTTAATCATGTCTTCATTTTTACCGTGGCAAAATTAAAGACTATGTAGTTTTCTTTTAGTGTTAATTAATTAAAATTTGTAGTCGTGCGCGGACATCTGCACCGAGACGGTTGAGGCTACCACTAACTAATACTTAAACTTTTTCTCTGAGTACATTTGTGAAGACTAACCTGGATTTTTTTTCTTTAGCTTTCGGAGATCTGATTTCTTCCTCTGAGTTGCATGAAAAGTAATATTCTGTCTCTGGTCTTGTAGACATTTACCCAGAGCATGAGGCTGGAGCGCCTGTCCCACGAACAGGGAGTGGCGGACAGACCTGCAGCTGCAAGCGAGCAGCTGGATGAGGCCGAGAAAAAAAGGCCAAACACGAAGGTACTTAAAGACGATGCTCCTTACAACTCTGCCCTCTTAGAAACTCACCCTGCTGCTATTAATGGTAAATTTAGATGTTTTAATTTCACTGTGTTGTACCAAATATGAACCAATGCATTTCAGTCTGGTTTTATGTATATATATATATATATATATAGTTTGTCACTGAACGTGTGTTAAATAGAATTAAAGTCACTCAATCAATTTTAACTTAATGTTGTGTATACAGTAGAAAGTAGGTTGCATTGTATTGATCAAAAAGGGAAAAAAGTGATATAATTACCATGTAGCCACTGGGCAGGAATGAATTAGTGTGAACTTAACCTTCCAGTTAAATTAAGCCAGATTCACTAAACCAGAGAATGAAAAATGCCATCCGTTTTGTTGATCGCTCAGTTTGCGTTTCTCTTTGCTGCTTCAGTTTGTAGCCGAGGACGGCCTCCAGTCAGACGCCAGCTTCGAAGCCACCATCGGGAAGTTTGACAGCAACTTTAGCATGATGCTGCTGGACCTGCTGGACAAGCTGAGCATCTACAGCACCAACGACTGCGAGCACAGCATGATCAGCATCATCTACAGGTAAACCCGGCAGCACCACTTGGAACTTTACAGCTCTTACGCTTCCCTTCAATGTTTCGGTTTTGTAACTTCTATTTTTAATCTGGATGATTCACAACCCTGGCAAATTCACTACTTGGTTTACTTTAGGCCTGGTGTTTCTCAAACATTTAGAAATCTAACCCAATGATAGGTTTAGAGACTTGGGACCCCAGAAATACATTCTTAATAGGTGAGTCATATGTATTTGTGTAGCATCATTCATACACAGTTTATTAAAAGTGTTAGAAAAGTACACAAAAATTATATTTAAAAAAATGCAATATTTAAGGATTACAATGAAATCTCATTGAGTCCAATTTGGACCAAAAGCATTTGGGGTTTTTTGTCTTTCCTGCATTAAGCTGCAGTGGATTCTGGCCCCTTTGCTCCATTTAATGGGCACAGTCATCAATGACAGTAAGAAACTGTGATCATGCATTGAAACAGAAGTTGTGTGTTATCAACTTACGTGTGGTAGTTGTGCTGGTAATGCTCTGGCTTAGAGAGGGCAAAGAGATGCTGAATCAAAATGGCCTGAAAGTGAAGCCTGGATGATGATGTGATCTTTTCTAGAAATATTTCAACCAAAAACTTATGCCCACTTGATAAATATGGAAGTCAAAAGGTGACCAGATATATTTTCTGATATACTCTGCCTTGCTAAAGTCTTCATAGTCTCATTGCATCCAAAAACTTTAATGTATTTGGTTCGGATTTCATGTGATAGATGGTGGGAAAGAAAATAAGATGTGGATTTCTAATATTTTTTTAACAAATAAAAACATCTGAAATGTTTATCTCGATTCAACATTTGTGCTCTGATGGTCCTAAAACGGGTTCACCTTCTAGCAAGACAAACACCCCAAATCTTTTATCTAAAGATGTGTAACAGGGACAGAACAGGTTGAATACAAACACACACCACTATTTAGATATTTATATGTAATTTTTACATTATTGCACGAATGCCAGTAAAATTTTTGAACATTTGAACTTAGTTGATTGTAACCTGTGATCTTTTGCACAACTTAAAAAATGTTGGCATGAATGTGCTTGTTAAAATAAAGTATGCCTTATGTACTTTGTTTTATTTCATAAAACATATAAAGGGTGAGAAACAGAGAGAGTACCACGTATTTTTCCTTCCTGTTATGTATACATTAACAAAGTAATTTATCGTATGCTAGTTTAATTGATCATCTTAAGTAGATTTATTTTTAACTCGCGCAGTTAAAGTAACGATGCTTTATCATCAGTTTCAAATGGTTTTAAAAGGAAATCCTGATGCGTTTGACTCCACAGGCTGGACTTTAACGGGTTCTACACAGAGCAGCTGGAGAGGATGGCTGTGGAGCGCAGTCAGAAAGCTGCAGTGTAGCATGTCTTCTCCTGCGTTTGGAAATAAAATGTCATTCTGCAATAAAAGGACCTCTCCTCATGGCCATGCATCACTCAAAGCGCCAACTTAACCACGGTGCAGACAGCTGCAGTTGTCTGCACTGATACATCCATGTGTATATTGTTATATAATACTGTATGAAATGTAGTTTTAATGTGCAGAGTCATATTAATGCTTCCGCTTTGAGAAATGTAACTCATTGTTGGTAACTTATTGTACCTGTATAGTGGAAATGTGTATTTGAAGTTAAATAAAACTTGAAATCTTTAGTCAGCTTTTTTTGTATCTCAAAGAAAATCCCTATGTGAACAACCTCACGTGCATTTATTTAAGAAAAGTGCTTAAATAATTTTGCTGGTTTGTTTGCTGATATGGTGGTCAATTGCACACAACTTCAACAGGAAATGCGTTTGTGAATTCAGAATAAAAGCCCATGAATAACCACAAAGAAAACTGCTGTTAGAGCAAGAGTTGGAGAATTTAAGAAAGAATTTAAAACTACTTTCACCCCTGAAAAATTGTGACAATCGAGCTGCACTTAGTTTAACTCAGTGTTTTTTACTGAAACGAGGTAAAGAAGGCAAAGGCTTCTCTTTAAACTAACAGACTTCGAGTTAAATGTAATAATTTGCTTAAGTCACTCTAGACTTCAACCATTTCCATTTTAGATCAGTGAGGCAGCCAGAAAATATCTGAAACATGTAGAGATAAGAGAGGAATTATGCTGGTGATTATCAGAAAATGTTTAGAAAATATTTCTGCTGACTTTGTGCCAGACATTACAACATGCCTTCTCAAGGTTAGAGAAGACAGTCAGGGGTTTTTTGTTGCCAGTTCTACTTGAGTTTGTTGCAGCCTATTGGAGAAAAATGGATTTGAACCTAAACAATAGATTTGTTTTATGTTTTATTTACCCAGTTCAGTTTTATACACTTTGAAATAAATGACCACAGAGAAAACTGAATTGTATCGCACTTGTATTCACTGAAGAGGCCGCTTACTTGATCTTTCTATGGTTTACTCTCTACAAAGAGGATAAACCATAGAAAGTCATTGCTAAACTATTGAGCTGTTTACAAAGAGCTTATTAATGGAAAGTTTAGTGGAAGAAAAAAAGTGGTAAAAAATAGCTGCACAATTCCCAAACAAATATATCCTGTATAGCAAATGGAACAGCCTTACATAAATAGGCGTTGGCTATATTTAATTTAACTTTTTCTTTTGAGAATAAAAATAAGTTAGAAAATGTGCTCCGATGTGGCTTGTCAGTGTAAGGGTACTTATTTGAAAATGTAAATTTAGGTATTCGGTTCTAAACATACTTTTTGATAAGCCCACATTTCTGCATTTTTGTTTTTTGACATATTGAATGTTTTTCTTAGTTGTAAGCAGAATACCACAATACCACAAAAAAAATTAACAGAAATAAAGACTTGAAAACATCAGTCTGTAAGTAACTGATCTATGTAATGTATTTCACATAGTGAGTTTAATTACTGAAATAAATACCATTTTCAATAATGTCCTAAATATCGAATGGGTCTGTACGTAGAGAAAAACGGTTATACCTTGTTTTTGTAAGAACAGTTTTGGTTTTATTTTGAAGTGTTATGTGCCGGAAGTGACCCATCGTCTTCTTGTAACGGTTTCGGCAAATAACTGCGATGGAGTCACCCCTTCAGGCGGAGCCTCAGCGATGATTCACGGCAAAGTTACTCGAGAGCAGGGAGGCTGTCGGCAGGCAGACGTCCAATGTTCGTCGGGGAGAACATGCTGTCTCTGTGCCTCATCTGGGGTAAGTTTTTTATTTATTTATTTATTTATTTATTTATTTATTTATTTATTTACTTACTGAATCAGGAAAATAAATAAAAAACACTTAAAAAAAAGTTAGACTCAGATAACCAGCCACTAGAGCCTTTTAGCGAAAATGTTCTAAATAGTTTTCTGTAGCAAAAAGTTAAGAATTTTAAGTAAAATAAGGTTTTGAATACCAGTTAAAAAGTTCTGAAATACACATTGGGCATTAGTTTTAGGCTATTATGCGTCATTTTTTATGTTTTCACTTGTGCAAAACATATGTTGGCAGTAGATAAAGATAAGCAACCCAACACTTTTCAAACAAGTTTTTTCCTATTTAATGTAGCTATAGATAATTTTACTACTTTTTAAACTATTTAAATCTGCATCATAAAACATTACAAGCATATGAAAATACTCTTATTGTAATTTTGGTGAGAACAAAACGGCTCCACCTCAAGCAGGTTATCGCGGCGCAGTTTTAGCCGTAAAAGGTTGCTTTTCTGTGCAGCATAAACAAATGATATTGTAACTAACTATTTCGTTAAGTTTAGCTATCATTTCCCCCGTTAATAAAGATTTTGACTTCCTGGACGTCTATAGTCCCTTGAGTCTTAACTAACTCATTAAAAGCAGTTTTATCCTGAGGTATGTTATGAGCAGGCTGTCACCAAAAGAAGCAAATGTTCAGCAACTTCTACATTGAAGCATTTTTGCACTTTTTCATACTACATTAAAATAGTCTAGAATTTATATGTTCCTCTGCAAAACGGAATTTATAAAATTTTAGAAAGTCTTAGCATCTGTTTTTTTAATGAACAGTTACAAGGCAACAATTTCACTTCTGTTTTTACCATGACTGCATGATAACTGAAAACCACCCGAACAGAAAACTAAGCCCTTATTTCTGGTTTAATACTCTACTAGATAAGATTTTTTTTTCTGTGAAGCTTTGACCTTCCAGTACACATTTTATTTTTTTTATTATTTCAGAACTATTATAAACTAAGAAAAAGAATAACATTCAATGTTTTTTGTCATTGCTGCCATTGAGCAGTCATTTCTAGCATGGCGCCGCTTGTAGTGGCTGCATGTTGGAACAGATCTGGCGTCTGATTTGTTCTTTTTCCCAGACTTTTTCTTTCTTTCTTTTTTTTTTTTTTTTTTTTGTGGTTGAGTCATTCCATGTTTGTACAATTATTCCCAACAGCTGTGCAGCTGTACAAATTTTTGCTCTTACTTCTTTGCTTTAGTACATTTGTTATAACCTTTGTTACAAAGTATTGTTTTTACACCTGGGAGCAGCAGCTGATTAGCATCTCAAAAGCTCAAATAATATCTGAACTATGACCCCCCAAAACGCAAGGAGGCTATCTGGATACAGAGCATAACCAAAGAGAGGAGAGAGAAGGAGGAAGTTCAAGTCATCAATTATAATGAGTGAGAATCATATTTCCTATTCTAACGTCCCTCTGCTAGGCTTTCGAACCAAGCAGAGACTTGAAGAGAAGCGGCAAAAGCAAATGAGGTGGATTAGCAGTGCTTGTCAACAACAGACAGTATCATCCAGGGCATAATATTGTGGAATGTTGTCTCTGCCGCCCAGAAATTAAGCTGTCAGCACAACTTGACAGTCAGTCTTCAGTCAGAAGACTCTGAAGATACTTCATTCATATGAGTTATGATAACATTTAATTTCCCTGTGGGATAAATAAAGTATTTTTGAATTGAATTTGAAGCAGGATTTTACTGTTTTTATAACAAAGACAAAAAAAAGAAAATTAGCTGCTAAAAAATGAATTGGCAAACATTACTAGAACAGTAGGTAATTTCTAGTATTATCATATTAATGGAAAGTTAAGTGCAAGGATAAGGTGAAATGTTCCTGACAAATTGCTGAGTGCAAATTCTGGGCGGTATCCAGATCTACTTTTCAGCAGGTTAACATATCTGAAATAAAACATGATTTATTAGTCTAACAATGTGCTTCCATTAGCTGTTAGGCAAATCCATCAAAACTGAATACAACAGCGTCTTGAGTCTCTGGGTTTAAATTCATGAAATCTAAAAAATTTGATCTTTTTTTAATGTAATCATTGAAACACAAACTTTTTCCATGCCGTTCTGATGTACTGAGACGCAGCGGCCTCCATTTGCGGTTTCCAGGTTTTGTCTTGCACAGCTCAGGACAGCTGTCTCACGTCCAGCAGTACGAAGTGGTCCGACCTCAGAGACGTCACGAGAGACGGGCCAGGAGCCTTCAGGACAACCAGGTGAGATCGCCTCACCTGTTCATCAGTCTGCTGGTGGAACTGGGAAATATTTCTCTGTCACATATATGTAGGGATTTCTGGTCTTGTTTTTGTCATATTTGTTTACTGATTTACCCGTGGCTGCCAGGTTCAGGTACCGTCACACCCCTCTGGTGATTTCTGTCCTCCCAATAGAACAGGAAAACGTTCAAAGAGCGACGCTTTGGTCGCATCCTGATCAGATTTTTTAGACTCTAGTTTGAGCTTAGGTGATGTAAATTAAGAGCTTCATCATTCAGCTGGGCTCTTCCTTCACCACAGCAGACCATCCAAATTTATGCAGACAATGTCCCAGTCTACTAGCGCTGCAACTAACGATTATATTAGTAATCAATTAATCTGTTCATTATTCTGATGATTAATCAATAAATCGGATAAAAACTGGCACATTCCTCAGATTTTAAATTTTTACCACTTAAGCATTTTCTATGCAATATTAGAAATACTTTGAAAGATGCGACAGATAAGTTACCTTTAAAAAAAAAAAACATTTTATTGGCTGTGAATTTGAACCAGATAAAACTAAAACTGACACTTGAGGAGTTTTGAATAAAACATATTTACAGACAAACAGCCTTTTATCTTAAACGCAAAATGTGTAATGTATATTTTGTAAAGTCTTGGCCTGTTTTATTGCTCTGAATATGCTTTTTTTTTCCTTAGCAAAGGGCCTTTTTTTGACTCTGTATGATCCAGTTAACGATTAATCGATTATTAAATTAGTTAATTATTTCCATAATCAATCCATCACGATTAATCTGATTAGTCATTCCAGCCCTGCTCAGATCCGTCATCTATCCGTCTCTTGCTCCACTCATCACTCATAAACAACATCAATTAATCTGAAGCTAAAAATATGTCCTCAGGTCATACGAGGCAACTGCAAAGTCAGTCAGTGACCTTTGGCTTAAGATGCCCCCGGTACAAAGCCTGGTTATGGACAACCCAGCAGATGCGGGTCAGATTCAGGCTGTTCAGAACACGCCACTCCAGTTTGACTCCAGTCATTACCCAAATGGACACATAAGTCCCCTGAAAAAGCAAGAGCATCCTCAGATGACACCAGTCTGATACTCCGAAGAGGGACGGGTTCCCCAGACTGCCGCTTGGCGCTCGGGCAGAGCAGAACCTCAAAGACACGACTCTCTGTCTCGCTCGCTGGGAAAGAACCCCGGTACAGAATCACCCAGAGGCTTTAATAAACTGTGAGATCCAGGATGTAAAGAATCCGGCCAGATCTGATAAAAAAATCAGATGATGTCGTAAACGTTTTAACAGGCTCCTTGAATACACTGAATCCATTTTTTTGTAGCAAAGCTGATGAAAATCAGTCAATACATCACCAACAAAGTGATCACATTCATAGATCTATTCAGCTTCAGTGAGAGGAAAAAAATTCCTCAATTTAAATGGCTACAGTCATATGGGTGATTTTACGTAACTTAAAATCTCTTCATTAATCAATGATTCTACCTTCTGCAGGTTTATCCTGACGCGCTTCAGTATGACCTGATGATCGAAGGCAGAAATCACTCTGTTCATCTGGAAAAGAACAGGTAAATATCAGATTCCCACTAAGGCGTCTCTGCTTGCACCTCTGTTAAAATGAAAAGCGGATCTTTTATTCTGTTTACAGGAATCTTATTGGTGAAAGCTACACCGAAACATTTTACTCAGAAGATGGAAAAAGGGTGACGACATCGCCAAATGAGGTACATTTGGTCGTTTTAGAGTGTAATATTTTAGGACAGCGGTTCTTCAGTGTAGATTTTCATATCATATCAGTTAACGCCTCCAGAAGTTTCCTGAGTTGCACAGTTCTGATCTCTTGTGTAAATATACAAAATGCTTGTCTATAAATATTTGTACTAGACCTCAGATTGTCGTCAAGTGACCCGTCATAATAAAAATGCGGCCTTCCAAACATGCAACTCAGGATTTTATGGATGTGGCAAACAAAGAGGCTCTTTGTTAATGACGTTTCCTTGCAGGAACACTGCTTCTACCACGGACATGTTCAAGGTGAGGCCGACTCCTCGGTCAGCGTGGGAATCTGCTCGGGCATCAGGTGAAGCACATTCTCATGACCTGGCTCTTCCTCTTCGCATTTCGTCTCTTACTCAAAGCTGAATATTACCGAGAGCGCTTTAGAAATGTGTTGATTCATATTTTGCCATCTTCTCAAGTATCATTGTTGTTGTTTTTTTAAATCTCTTGCTGCATTTAGTCCTGCAAATATCTTATGTGTCACTTTTTTTACATCTGATTTTTTTTTTCTTGCCTTTATGTGGACAGTTTGTCCAAAAGGCATGTTTACGTTTCTAATTCCTGCTGCTGTTTCCTGTGTTGACGCTAGCGGCTTTCTGAGAGTCCGGCGGCAGGTTTACCTGATCGAGCCTCTGGGACAGACTGTGGACGAAGAGCACGCCGTCTACAGATGGGAGCACCTGAAGACGCCCGGCCAGCCCGGCGCCGGCTTCTCTTCTAACGCCTCCATGTTGTTTGATCGGGACCAGAACCAGGAGCCGAACCCTCAGCCAGAAGGCCTCTTCAGGTCCAGATCATGGGTTCGTCTTTTGCTCCCTGGAATTGGAAATGTAGCACCTGGTTTGCTAGAGGCTGGTTTGATTTACCTTTTAAGATTTGAAACGATAGATGTTATAGGGAGATCTGACAATGTATGATGAGCGGGTGATTTTCTTTCTGGTTTAACTTTTCCAAACAAACCCCGTTTGAGTCTTTTTCTCGCTGCTTCGTCCTGAACTTTTAACGTTTACGGTGCAGGCTGTAGATGGAGCCTACACTTTCTCTAAGCATCGCAGAGTCTTTCTAAAACGCATTGTCTTGTTTTTGTTACTCAATATGAAGCAATTTAAAATATGAAACTTTTTTTTGTTCAGAGAACAAAATCGCCACCAGGGCCTCAGAAGTTTGTCGAGCTGTACGTTGTGGTGGACAGCACCGAGGTGAGTATGTTGATTAAAGACGCCGTCTTGTTGCAACTCGTGTTTTACGAGCGGACGGATGCCAAGAGTAATAAACGAAGCATGCTGGAGAAAATGAATCCACAATCTGCCTTGTGTGTATGTGGGTTGATTAAATCACAAAGCAGAAGAAAACAGCTGGTTAGTTGGCTTTAGTAAGGAAAGAAATGTGTCATAAACACAGGAAAAAAGGAAAACTCAACAAGATAGATACGAATGGATGTACTCAGAAGAACTCTGCTAAGTAGCGTAATGTCTTTTGTGATGTGAAAATTGATTGAATCACATTTTAATAACTAAATACCAAAACCAATAGAAAGGCTGACCATGAAATATTGTCCCATAGGTAACAAACTATATCTTTTGGGAATTTGTTGGATTTTACAGAAAAGTTTGGCTCCTAGCTTTAAGTCTGTACATCTTTGGGAAAACAATGACCATGTTTTGTTTTTTTTTCCTCTCCATTTGCAGTACAAACAGTATCGAGACGATACCAGGTCGCGTATTCTCGGTGTTGTGAATCACATCGATAAGGTATGTTTGTTTCCAGCCGTTTGAAACGGAATCGTTTCTGTCCGTTTCTGAACGCCTGCTCTTCTCCGCCTGCAGCTGTACCGCTCCGTCAACATCCGCATCATGCTGGTGGGCTTGGAGATTTGGCACTACAAAGATCTCGTCGTCGTGGACGGAGACCCGGACAGGACTCTGGAGAACTTGATGGTGTGGCGCCAGGCCGACCTCTCGAAGAGAGCGCAGCATGATAACGTCCAGCTCGTGACGTGAGGGCCGCCGGGGGAGCAAATAGTGCAGACTTTTAAATCTTTGACTCGCAGTTTGAGCTCATGTCAGCCTCTCGTTTTCCACAGGGGCAAAGACTTTTCTGACGACACAGTCGGACTGGCTAATAAGTTCGCCATGTGCACCGTGAACTCTGGGGGAGTCAATCAGGTGGGTGTGACAGCAGAAGCAAATCGGCAGCATTTTGTTTTTACATTGGAAAGCATCAGATCTCCATCTCTGCCGTAGGATCACCACGGTAACCCGCTCGGCCTCGCCTCCACCATTGCTCACGAGATGGGGCATAGCTTCGGCATGTCCCACGATGCTGCGGGGTGTGTGTGTGGTCCATCTTACAGCAACAACTGCGTAATGACTGAAAAGCTCAAGTAAGAGCAAATGATGTTAAAACTCATTCATCGGCTAATTTCTTGATTTATTGACGTTTAAAGCCTTAGCTAACTCTCCTGTGTTCACCTCCCGCTCAGTGTTGGAGGCCACGGCTTCCCAGACTTTTTCAGCGACTGTAGCATCCAGCAACTCGCTCAGTTCATGGAGCGCGCTCAGCCCAGCTGCCTGGACCCACCAGGCCGCATCAGCACCATCACATTGGGCCCCCACTGCGGTAACGGCCTGCTGGACCGTGGAGAGGAGTGTGACTGTGGCACAGCAGAGGTAAAAACCTTCAACTCTGAGGTTACGCCTGATAATCTTGATGAGAGAGGGAAATGATGACAGGAATCCATTCGTCTTCAATTTGACCGTCCTGACAGAAATCCCACGTCGTTTTAGTCAGTAGCTGCTCCCTGCAGACGTGTGAGTTATTTGACATAAATAACTCACAAAAGCTCACAAGAAGTTTATCTATGTAGCACCTTTCAACAGTTCAAAGTACTTTATATTATAAAAAACATAATACAGTCACCAATTATGAAGCAAGCAATAAACATTAGATTTAGTCAAGTACCGTCAATGAAATCATCAAGTAAGTATACATTAAATAGTTTGATCATTTGAAGCTCAGTGTTTTGGCTTTTTCTGAAGCCTTGAAAGAAGCATTTTGAATGTTTTTAATCTATAAATTTCTGATGGTTGCATATTTGCGTTTTCTTACTAGGAATGCATCAATCCTTGCTGCGACGCCTCAACGTGTCGCCTGACTGAGGGATCTCAATGCGCTCATGGAGAATGCTGCGAAAGCTGTCAGGTGCTGAACTCCTCTGTGCGCTTACGGATTCTAAACGCTTAAAAACAGGACGTCAACTTTGAGCTCGCGAGAAAAAAACAAAACAAGATTAAACGCAGAATGCAGTTTTCAAATCGTGACTTAATCCATCTGTCGTCGGATGTTTGGGATGAGCGACGAGTGTTTGACATCGCTGCAGAGGAATCTTTATCCAATCTTCTCTAAAGGCGTTTTTTTCTTTTTTGTAATGTTTTTTATGTTTTTATCAATCCGGCATGTTTTGCAACCCACAGCTGAAGGCGTCTGGCAGCATCTGCCGGAGAGCTGCCGGTGCATGTGACCTCCCTGAATACTGCAGCGGTGACTCAGCGGATTGTCCTGAAGACAGCTTCGAGATGAACGGCAAGCCTTGTTCCAGCCAGGCGCCGGGCTACTGCTACGACGGCCAGTGTCCCACGCGAGCGAAGCACTGCTGGAGGCTGTTTGGAGAAGGTATTTCTGTATTTTCCATTGAGAAATTCTGTTTACTTTATTGCCAAATTATCAAAATCCTATAGCTCTTTTGGTTTCATTTGGCAGGAGCTAAAGAGGGCCCTGATTTATGTTTCGACCTGAATAAACGGGGCCAGGAAGGCGCCAACTGTGGAAGGGATGGACAGAGCTTCATTAAGTGTTCCCCTCAGTACGCATCACTTCAAATCTGTTCAGCGCCTGCAGATGCCAGGAATGTGACTAAATCCTGAAGAGGTTTTTGATTAACTTAGCCGTCTTTATTATTGCAGGGACCTGAAGTGCGGGTCCATGTTTTGTGTTGGAGGGGAGGAGCCAATCACAGGTAAACATGCAGTCTTCAACGTGTGGGGTGCGGCGTGTAGGGTTCTCGTCGAGGTGGACAGAACCAGAAACTTTGACATGGTGCCGAATGGAACCACGTGTGGAGACAATAAGGTAAAAAAAAAAAAAGAAACAACTCAAGAAGGAGACACTTTATGCAAATGATCTTGATTTGTTTTGCTCAAACGTGTGTTTGCAGGTTTGCCTCAGCAGTAAATGTGTGGACGTCTCAGTTTTCGGCAGAAGAGAGGACTGTGCAAAGAAATGCAACAACAACGGGGTACGTCTTGTAGCGTCTCTGTAATCCAATTATGCTTTTGCTCAGGTCAGGTGGACGTACAGCCCTTTCCCAGCCATTAAGTAAATTAAAATGACTGACAATAGAACTACATGAAAACTGGTCGTCACACTGTTGGAAAGTTTGCAAACCGTCTTCAGGTGTTTTTTTAAACTTCATTTCTAGGTATGTAACCACAAGCATGAATGCCACTGTAACCCTGGGTGGGCGCCGCCGCACTGTGACGTCAAATATGCAGACATAGCTAAAGGTGAACTTTCACATTTCTGCCGCTTTTTGACCAGACCCATGCTCATATTTTGTCGTCCTGCAGCCACAAACGTCAATGAGTTTTATATGGATTTATATGATAGGCCAACTAAAAGTAGTTTATGATTGTAGAAAAATGATATACATCAACAGAGAGTCTGTGAAGGACGTCGTTTAATACTTGGAGAGAGAAAAAAAATTGACGATATCAGAGTGTATTTTCTTTTTCCGGCCTGCAGGTCAGACCATGATGATAGCTGGGGTGTGTGCAGGGATCTCGACCCTGCTGGTCGTCGCTCTGGTGATCGCAGGACTGATGTGCTGCAGGAAGAGCAACATAAGGGACAGACACATGTATAAGAGGTAGATTGTCTCCTCCCCTCTGTGAACATTCGGTTGTTTTCCTCCCTGCTGACTGAATCTCGCTTTCACAGGAAGAAGCAGTCACCTCCTTGTAAACTGAACCCCGTGTTCCAGGAAAAAGCCGTCAGAGACAGACCTCAGATCAGCCAGCCCACTCTGATGGAGTCCACCTCCTCTCGGGTCTGCAGCCCTCTGGTTGTTGCCGTGACTCCCTGCAGACCTTCTCCACAGGTACGCTCGTGTTTATCCGCATAATAAAAAGCATAATTCTTTAACCCAAAGTAACCAACTCCTTGTTGTTCTCCAGCCTCCTCCCAAACCCTCTTCAGTTTCCTGCACCTCTGAGACCGAGCCGGTGAGCCTGCTGCTGCTGGTTTTAATCTTTCAGAGAGATTTAATGCATAATTCAGACTCAGGATCGCATTTGGAGTCAGCAGCTGAAGACTTAGATCTCATCCGGAGTTCAAAAGACGATATAAATAAAAGATGGCAGCTATCTGTGTCCGGAGAGGAGAGAGAGAAGGTCCATGTTGTTTCTGTTGGACAGGACGGTGACATCACGCCGTCGTTCTCTCTACCGTTCTTAACAAAAACCTTTAAGCACTTTATTTAAAAGGCTTCAAAAATGCTCTGACATCACATGACCTAAAATAATATGTTAATGCTGGGAAACATATTGTAGTGCAAGATAAAGTTATTTCTCCTCTCTGTTCTGATAACATGACCTAAAATAATATGTTAATGCTGGGAAACATATTGTAGTGCAAGATAAAGTTATTTCTCCTCTCTGTTCTGATAAGACTTGTTGATGACTTGGCGCCTTACGAACAAAATGTTTTAGTTCTCTTGCTTTGTCGACTTAGTGCTGCCTTTTGAACATCATAAAGCTAAAAACAACTTATTTACTTTATCAGCATCTTTGGTTCAAAATGTATTTTCTTGAGCATCTATATTTATATTGAGATTTTAAAAAAAAACTAAAGTGTTTTTCTTTTACTCCTCTTCACCACAGATGAAACCCGTACCTCCATCCAAACCTTTATCTCCTCTGAATAAACCGCAGGTGAGTCTGTTTGAAGTTCAGCCACGTCTCGGTGAAAGTCCAACTGCTGCTGCTCAGATCCCCCGGCTGCGGCGACGTCGCAGCGAATCATTCAAGCCAAACTTTCCTCTGTTTCCTCCCACAGAGGGCGGAAACGGAATAATTACAGGAAACGTGTTAGTGTTGCGTTTTAGCTGCCCACACAAAAACCTGAGGACTGACTTACTTTAAAATAGAAAAGTTGGAAGTCCAGAAGTGACTTCAGCTTCTCCCACAGCAGCTTCTTGTACATTTTTAGATTAAATCAGATAAAAAAATTAAAAGAAACAGAAACCTCTGAAGTGTTTTCATATTCTGTCACAGAATTGGATGGAGAACATATTTAAACACCAGTAAAGCGCTTCCTTCCAGGATTTCAGTGCATTAATCTCCACCCATCTTCCATGTCACTGATCAAGAAAAGCATCCTTCAGCATGATGCTGCCACCACCGTGTGGTGTTCGGGGTCAAGCACAGTCTGATCAGATGAGTGAGGGAGTGAATACTTTATACTTTTAATTTATTAGAGGTTCACAGTCTGAGATTAAATCTGAGCATTGTGGAAGAAGTGCTTCTGTTTGTTTGTTTTAGTCTATTTGAGATTTTAGGTGAATTAAACTCCTTTTATTGTCATTGACCTGATGTAGTTTCCTTTTATAGATCTGTCAAAGTAAAAGCATTTACACTTCACGGTTTGGTTCTCTCTAACAATGCGTCTCACTTAAAGGCGCTTCAGACGCAAGAGAAACTGGTTCAGATTGTTTTTAACTGGCACAAGAAGCTCATTAAGATCTCTATTTTGATTTTCAGAATCCTGGAACCAAACCACGTCCTCCAGCCGTACCGCCGGTCAAACCCTCCCCTCCTCGGGTTGCCAGATTCAAGCCTCCTCCTCCTCCTCCGCCGCCGCAGGCGAAGCCTCGCTTCATCAGACCTGCGTGACGTTCTGGTCAGTCCGAAGGGTTGAAAACAGACGCGGCCCACCGACGGTGGAGAAGCTAAAGTTCAAGTAACTTTAACAACTCAAGGCTAACATTTGCACAGCTGCTGTACAACTGTGACGTTTTTACTCTGTTTGCAAAAAAAAAAAAAAAAAAAAAAAACTCTTCTACATTTTTACATCAAATACCCACATGCACTTTGATTTTTTATTTTTTAGGTATTTATTTCACATTAGTGTAGCCGTAAGAAATGTAATAAAGTTATTTATGTTTAGGGTTCGTTTTTGTAAAAGTATATGGCCTTTTTTTTTTTTTTTTTATTTTTTTTCTGAAGGCCTCCTATTCTTACTATGTGTCTCTTTGGACGCTGCTGTCAGCTTAGATGCAAACTTTAACTATAACCTGCTTTTCTAATGTCTCTAAATAACAGACTCAGGGCAGGCGGGTCTCATTGAATATTTTCAAAACCTTTAAATAAAACCTCTACATAAAGGCGTCCTGGTCAGGTGCCTGATCAGCAGCAGTTCTGCTCCCACTCGCTCCCCGGTCCTCCTGACCTCGTCTTTCTACAGCCGAGTCCACCGCTCTACAGATCGGACCGGTCTTTTATCTGGACTCCGGCGTCTTCCAACCTTGACCCATATCTCTTTACGACAGCGAGGGTCAGAACACAGACTGGTGTATCAAGCGCTGCATTTGATTAAACTCTTTCTCACCTTGACCAGCTTAGCCGGCGCTAATCCACCCGTTCATCTCCTGCTCATTTAAACGACTCCTCCGCTTGAGACTAAGTCGGACTCAGAAAGTCTAATTCTGAAAGATTTGACGCAACAAACGTGGAAACAAAACCTCAATAATGGCTTCCTTTTTTTATATATAAAAAAAGGCTCCAATTAAAAACAAGTTCTTTTTTTTTTATACCCTCTTTCTTTTGTTTTACTTTCATAAATTAATGTCCAGTCTGTGAACTTCACTCAAAGCCAGTCTACATGTTTTCTACGTTTTGTACTTGAAAGCTGATGAATAGTACCTGTGTATGGGAGGCTTCACACGGCTCAGATGAGCCTTGTGTCTTTAATGTTTTGCTTCTCTGTGACTTTAAAGCACCGCTGTCTCCACGGCAACAGCCAGGGGACACGTGAAGTCATAACTTTGCTACCAAAACACAAAATATGTTTAGTTTTTTCTTTGTAATTGTAAAATAAATGACAGATTGAATGTGAAAACCTTGTTTTTTTGTTGTTGGCAACAAATAAAGTGCACTTAAGTTCACCTGAAAATTGTGCAATTTTTCCTATGAAGTAAACATTCACACTTTTGGTGAAAAGGTCATTGCATGATGTTTATTACACAACCTGGCAGTCTTCTTTTAGCCACAAACGGCATCAGTTTCAGTTAACAGACTTTGAGTTTAGAGATACATTAGAGAGGAAGCCAGAGGTGGCAATGATCTCACTTTATTTTATTTACTTCAACATTAGAATAAGCGGCTGCAGGATTTTGGTAAAAATTGTGAGATGAATCTGCTCTGAAGCATTACAAATACTCTGAGCAAAGGAGAAATAGACGACTGAGATCACTGATGGTCGTTTTAGTGATTCATGAGAAACAGCTGCCTTCGTTCTGAGACGTAAAAAAACGCCGAAGAGGAGTTCCTTCGTTTAGGGAAGGTCATTACTAATCCTAAAGGAAATAAAGGCACCATAGCTTAAAAACACAGATCAATAAAAATGTGAAGGAGAAAGGATGAGACCAGGTTTTAGATTACTGTTCATGACTTCATTCTTTTTAACCAGTTTTATAAAGTTATTAAACAGACAAAGAATCTGTATAAAACTGCTTTGTAATAATCATTTTAATAAGCTTATAGATGCAGGCACCTCCATCTGTAGCTTTCCTTACACTTGTGAGGAAATTTATTTATGGATAACATTTAGCATAAATATTAAAATCATAATTAAATAAAATTACATGGAAAAAGTAATTTAAAAATACATGTTTAGAAAGATTTTAATTGGTCTTGTGTGATTTTGTTTTTGGTACTCTTTAGTTCTGTCAATCATTCCAGGTGCTAATAATCTACAAAGGCCTTCAGGTTTTCCATTATGTAAATAGATGCAGAAAATATCAAGTTAAAGTGTGGTGAAGACATACAAAATTAAGTTGCATTAATTTTTACAGTATTGTTGGAATAATTGTGATAGCACTGATTTAAACATAATTTGTGAGCATGAGCTCCGGCTGCCCTCTCGTACATTTAGAAGGTTCTACGTTTGAGTCCCAACGTGGGATCTTTCCGTATCGGTGTGGAATATTTATTATTTTTTTATATAACACGTTTAACACCCTGCCATAAATACTGGTTCCTCTCCAGTTACAATCTGCGTCTAGCTTTAATTAAAGTCCAATAATTGTGAAAGATTTCTCCTATTTTCGTCTACATTAAATCTGCCTCCTCTCCAAAGAAGTTCTCATTAATTTTCTCCCTTTACAGTGGAAAAAAAAAAGAAAAGGAAAAAAAAGTTTTCCACTATGGGAACTTAAAATAAAAATTTAACTGTCTCTTTGAATCGTCTAGGCGTCATATAAAGTATAAACAACAAAAAAGGGAGAAACTCCGGTTCGTAGCTCTGGTAAGACAATGAAAAGGCTGATTCATGGCGACTCACAAGCCACGCAGGTGGGAAAACAGCTCACAGTGCAGGCAGCTGCGTATTAGAGGCGCATTCTGCAGGAGATTTAGGATCACTGTATTTCTCAGAGGAGTCGATGGCCTTGAACGAACCGAGCAGCTGACTTCCGGTTTCAAAACAAGTAAAAGCTCCATCGATTACAAAAAAAAAAGCGTTTCCCAACAGGCAGTTAGTTGGAAATAGTTTCATGTGTGCAGAAACACCGGGTCCAGTAAGGTCATGAGAAGGGAGGAAACTGGACCCGACCCGCCTAAGTCACTCAGAGTAGTTGTAGTTTAAACAGCTGAGTCACATTAGCTCGATTGATTCCAGCTGTCTGGACAAACTGAGGCTCTGAAACTCGTCTGTAGTGAGTCATACCGTCAGTCCTCTGATATTTACATTGTTTCACTCGTATCTGATTAAGTCCTGAAGAAAAAAATGACTAAGAAACAGGAACATGTTGCCATGGCAACGCTTCCTTCTTCCTGTTTCAGAACCGGAAAACGGCCCCAACCAGCAACTTCGCTCCGGTTTCTTAAACTACGGCACAGGTTCTAAAGGTGGTACATAAGATTTTATGTCAACTGTGATGGTAGGAGATAGAAGTAGCTATATTTTAGAAATCTTAGCTTAGTGGTGATCCATTTCCAAAACGGAAAACCAGCAAGGTTTGCTGTAACCAGGCTAACTGCTATTGTTAATTATGAATTTCTTATGTTTTTACTGTCAAATGATCTAAAATATGGTGTTCAGTATCGACTAAAGTACTTTCACAAATATAAAATAATTTTTGTCTCTGCTTATCACCAAGGCAGCCATATTGGATTTTGAGGTTTAGATTGCTGAGGAAACTCCAACTTTCCTCCTCTGAAACCTAATTTCTGGCAACCTTTATTTCCCGCCCCCCCCCAACTACAAACTTGGATATTTTAACTTTAAGTAAAAAAATGGAGGACAATTTGAACACAAGTCATTTTCCTTTTGCTTTACAATCGAGCCTTATTTTATGTAGCTCTATCGCATAAAATAGTAAAGTTTGAGCAGTTTTGTAAAGAACTGAACATCGACCCAAAGGAGAAACTTAAAACAACTGTGTCAAAGTGATTTATTATTTTTATTACCTGGTCAACATTTTCATCTTCATACAAGGAAATCTCCAAAAACTTAACATACAATTTAAACCAGCAGATGAAAACAATATTCAACTCTGAAGGAAAAAACGAACAAACAAACAAAAAAAAAAACCAAATTGAGATACATAAATACGAAACTGAACAAAAAGAAAAGCCATTGCACTTTAACTCCATAAATGCAACTCAATGTTATTTCTCTCTGGCCCAAAGCAGCCAAACAGTTACCAGAATAAATACGTTCAACCATTTACTGCTCTGGGTCACTATGTGCATTCACATCCACGTCCCAAATCACATTCAGATTATTTTCATCTAACAGTTGAGGAAAACCACAGGTGTCTCTGTGTTTTAGTCAGATTATATAATCCTTAGTGAAACAACCTAATTTCTGCTCCCAAAGAACCAACATGGAGACCAGTGTTTGCCAATAATATATCTGGGGTTTAGGAGGGTCTTCAGTAGTGACAGTGATGTTAAAGCAAAAAAATAAAAAATAAAAAAATAAACATACATCAGGAAAAACTAAATTAGAAATGTATAGTCATCGCAAAAGTATAACAATGACGTAGCGACCAGAACGTGATTTAAAAATAATAAAATCAGATCCATATTATAAGGTTTAAAATAAAAGTACTAGTTATTCCAAACTATAAAAATGCTCAGCTAGAGTGTAATTATTCAGAGTGTGTGATGAAAGCTTTTACACAACTTATGAAGGGACAGTCCAACCAGCAAACAAAATTTTGGTGGCTCGGTTTTCCTCAACGTTTTCCTCAATTTATCTTTGATTGTCTCGTGTTTAGTTTAGAAACCCTGCTGTAGGAGGTTCTGCTCTCCAAACTCGAGTTTCTAATGGGAGATCCTGACTGAATGCGTCCGATCGACTCAACCGTTTCTGACGTGAATGCAGCAGAGACCCACCGGTGCACCGAACCCCGCCTCCTCTCTACCGCAGCTAAAAGACATTTACAGTATAGACAATGTATAAACACAATGGCCAGCCATGTACGAGGCACATATGACAAAACACCTTTGCTTAGGATATATAATACTAGTTTTTAAAAACATACACATAATGTAAACCCCCGAAAACATTGATAGTAAAATATACAAAACTGATGGAGAGAGACTAACGGTTTCTGTTTGTGTGGCGTCGGTGATTTCTGCCGCGGCTTCGGCAGCTTGTCTTCACAGAGAGGCTACATGGGAGTATCAAAGTGCTTTAATCTCCTCTTCAATCCGTCCCCTCCCAGGTCTCTGCCCAGAACATTTCCTGTTTTTTTTATTTCCCATGTTTCCTCTGGATGCCGCCAACACGAACCCTCACGCCCGGCGCTACAGTTTGCTCAGCGATGCGACGGCGGAGACAAACCGATGGTCCGTGACGGTACGTTG